CTGTTATTTTGCCCAGGTTACCTTTTTGGATGTTCTTCCCTGTGGTAAGTGCCCTGACAGAACCTGCTATGGAGTTCTGGAAGAATTCAGTTTCAGGCGAAACATTCGGTCAGGAGGCCACGTAACGCATCGATCAGCTTCAGCTTTTTATTCCTTTCTTACCTGGCTGTTAACGTCAGCAGCGTGCTGTAACAGTACTGAAACCAGCTCCTTGTGTCCTCTGTCACACGCCCAGTGGAGCAGAGCCCGACCCTGCAACATCCGGGAGAAAATTAACAAAGTCAGCCAAAAAAAAAAGCACAGAGAATCAGTCTTGCTATTGAGTACCAATAACAACATTAACACAGACTTTTTTAAAAAACCCCTACACTAATATTAGTATGTAACCAGGCATCTGGGCATCACCCACGACCGTCCCCCTTCTCAGCTCTGCAGCACAGGCTGCTGCATTCATCCCTCCAGGCTCTCCCAAATCTCCATGGCTTTCTTCTCATCCCCTTTCTACAAGCCTCTGCACGCCCGAAGTCTCTCTCTGCATGGCTCTGCCACCACAGGAGGAGATGCAATGGAAGTTCAGATCTTCCTGTCTGTCAAGGACACGGGAAGTAGTTCAGGACCCCTCTGAGGGCTGACAGAGACATCTGAAAACCCAGCTGGTCTCAGAAAAGGCTATGGAAGTAGTGAAGTGAAGCTTTTGGGGTTGGGTTCATGGGTGCCGCTCTGATTTTGGGCTAGGACAGTCAAACCTATGAAAGGTAACGCTTGTTTTTCCAACAGGATGTCACGGCAGAGCTGTGGTACAGTTTCACACGCACTAAGAGCCCTGCGCTGAGGCTGGACTGCTCATTTTCTTATAATGCAAAAACGCATTCAAAGCGGTAACAGCAGAGCCTTTGCACAAGCAGCTCTAAGACATTTTCTATGAACTGTAGAAGATTTTATATATCAGCAACTCCAAAGAGAAAAGCAGCTCAAAGTAGTTTGAGACGGAAGGTTTTCTTCCTTGTTTACTATGTACACGTAGTAAATTAGACTTACTGTTACTATCAGTCTCTCCTGATTTAGGACGGCATGTGGCACGCTTGCAAGGGATTCCTTGGAAATCACCCTGCAGATAACCAAGAAATCATCCCCAAGCTGTGACACCGTCAGACCGACCTGTGTTTTCCAGTGTGCTGTGCAAAACAGCCGCAGACCTTCACAGATGAAATCAGATGAAATTAGCCCACGCCTGGTGATAAATCTCTCGACAGAGCAGTGGGGAACAAGGTGAGCAACTCATTTATCTGCTAATGGGAACTGTGAGCCAAATTTCCCGACCACAGTGCCAAAACAGCAGGAAGGGCAGAAGACACCTGCAACTGAAGCTCACGCTGCTTCTGCTGGGTATTCTTGGGCAGGGCAGCAGAGGTAGAACATGCTTTTGAGTTAGGAAACGTGATCTCAGACACAAGGCATTAAGCTTTTTAACACACTTTTTGACCCAGCGAGTAATTAATTTTTGTAACACATAATTTTAATGTTACACTAATTAACCTTGAATTAGAATTAATTTTCTGACAATGACTTTCTATGGAAGCACTGATGACATCCATGGGCCATTTAATGATAAATGTTCTTGCACTCAACACCACTATCAAAGTCTAAAAGGGGGGAATAAGTACAATTTAAAACAATTGGTAAATATGGAAACATCTTAAATTTGTGTTTAGCACCCTCAACTCGTCTCTGGACTGGTAATTACTTAAGACTCAGGATTTTAGTTGGACAAATACTGACTTTTTTATGTAACAGGTGTTTATTTCAAAAGAAAGAAGCACTATTCTGCAATATGCACAATAGCAATAAATACTTCAACAGATGATTTCAGTTTCTTTATATATATGTAGAGGAATAATACTGTAGTTACACAAGTGTAATTATCGTGCAATTACACAACAAAATATAGGCATTTCTATCAAATCTTTGTATCAAAATTCACATTACAGATTAGTGGCTGCAATATGTTGGTTTACATTGTCTCTGGACAAGCAGAATCTCATTTTATTGGTGCTGAACTTGGCTGAGACCAATAAAGGAAAACCAACAATTTGGGAGAGACAGTGCTGCTAATCCTGTCAGCTCAGGGCTACTGCAGCACTGTGCAGCTGGTCCCTTCCCTGACACTGCAAGGCTGGTTCTGCTGCAAACGTCACGTTTTGAACAAGACAAGAAACTGAAGCCTGATCATCTATAGTCATTAAAAATCTCCTTGTGCTACTTGCAGGAGTATGGATTTCAAGTCTTGGGCCAATTCCACTTTGGGTAATTACACTCTGCTTACCTATATATTTTCTCTGCAATTCTAAATGGATACAATATTTTCCAATTAGTGCCTTAAATGCCTCTGCATTGTAATTGTGCATTATTAAAAAGCTGACACGTTCCACCTCAGAAACGTCTGCATCCTTGCAGCATGCTATGCCCTAAACATAGGGTGTAAGGGTCTTTGGAGACCTTCTGTGGAAGAGCATACCATCTGATGGGGATGTAAAAATACCTGCAGAAGACGCGCAACCTTCTTACTGTATAACAGACAGCGTGACTAAGAAACTTGTATTTAAAGCAAGATAATATTCACTACTGTTTGCAGAGCATCAGGCAAATTAAAATGCTCAGGAGTTCTAGCTAAAGTACTTAGGCAGCTATGCAGCTACAAGGTCCAGTTGTTCCCTTATCTTCCTTAAAATAAACCTTAGCAATAAGGCAAACTTAAACTGAACATACAACCCAACTCTTTGTATCACACGGATATCACCTATGCACGTTGAAAAATTCTTTAGCCCGCACAGCTGCTGCTTTATATCAGCATATAACAGGTGTTTGTGTATTTAAATAACACGGCAGAAATCTTAAGAGCCACAGATTGAGCTTTCCCAAAACACTTCCCATGTGACTGTTTCATTAAGCAGCGAGAGATTCAAAGCAACATGAGCAATTTCCTATAGGAAAGCGCTGCAGCAGAGAGGTCTGCACTAAATGCAAGTAAACACCCAGGCACTCCCTCCACGCAATTCAAACACACAGCAGTTGTTGCAGAAGTTACTTGAGAGGATGCATTTCCCCCTGCCTTTGAAGTATTTAATAAAAAGAGCATAAAAATAGCCCCAGTGCACTAACCCTGCCTCTTAAATCTTCTGTGCTTTGCTTGGGTAACCGCTGCCAGCTTGGCCAGCTTCTGCAGCAGTTTCTCAAGCCAACAGCACATCAATTTTGCTCAGCTCCAAGTCACAGGGTGTTCACAAACAAAGCACAGGACAGGGATTTGTCTCAGATATACCGAGTCTCAGCAGACAAACGGATGGGAATGATTTTCACATCAATTAGCCAGTGCAGAGAAAGAGGAGAACAAAGCCAAACTGAATGGATGTGCTACAATATTAAGCTATATTTCTAGGCACGATGTTTGCAGCTGTAATGGCTGTATAGCAATGACAGCTGCTCTAACTTGTGGCAAGTGTTTTACTACTGGTAATTAAGAAGAGAAGTGTATATATAGAATGGTTGCATCCCCCTGTGACAGCAAAAAAAACAGTGAATGGAAGGGCTGTTGTTGCAATTATATAGGTAAACTTCAGATTTGATTTGGAAGTCAATTACTTTCAGAGCTCTGAAACACTTGCAAAGTTTTTCCAATAGGAGTAAGCCTGTAAATCCAGAAGCACATGATCCTTCTTCAAACCCATTTTTCCCCCCGTTCTTTCCTTGGCAAGCTGGCACCAATTTGGCACTTGCTATCTGAAAAGCATGAGGATGGGGGACTAAGCGAGCATCATTTCAGATGCCTTTCATTAAAGTTTTGGCAAGGGCTTAGATACCGCACACAGGTAACATGTTTGTTTACTGGGATTTCTCCAACAATTCAAAAAAAGTCTCTTTTTTCCTCAATTCAAAAAATTTCTCTCAATTGAAAAAAAACCTTCCACAGCCCTTGGCACAAATTACAAAAGCAACTCATCTACGCCTTTGAGCAGTTTCTGGTTTGTTAAAACTCGAAGATAGACTGTTGTCAAAAAGGCAGCAAGCAATCCACACCACCAGGACGTGCCTGTGGCCACTTCACAGCCACACTCCATTTCTTATTTCATTAGTCCTGCTGACATACGTAAGAGAAACGGGTTGTTTTCGTCTGTGCTACTTCTTCTAAGTGAATGCAACTT